GGAGCCAACTCCACGGTACTTAACAACAACAACAATATAGATAGATATGTATTACGTACTTTTAAAATTAATGATTAATATATTGTTGTCAAGTGCCGTCGAGTTGATTCCGACCCATAGCAACCCTGTATAGGGTTTCCAAGGAGTAGCTGGTGAGCTTGAACCGCTGACCTTGCAGTTCAAACCACTTTGCAGTCTGATTCATTAACCCACAGTGTCACACCAGGACTCTCTCTCTCTTGTATATATATATAATTTAAAAATTAAGTAATACAGTTGCAGTCTGATCTGTGTCTAATGCTATAAAATAATCATTTTTTAACAGCTTTATTGAAATAAAACCTACATGCTGTGCATTTCACTTATTTAAAGTATACACTCCAATGGATTTTAGTATATTTAGAGATACGTGAAACCATCACAACAGTTTTAGAATATTTTCCTCACTTCATACTCTTTAGCTCTTTAGTTATTACTATTTAACTCCCAAATGCCACCCCTACTCAGTAAACACTGACCTGCTTGTCATTGTAGAATTCCATGTTCTTAACGTCTCATGAGTGTAATTAAATACTTGTCCACAGTGTTGATGTTTTTTAACATTGATCCACATTGTAACGTTTATCAGTACATGAATAATATTCCGTTATATGGATATACCATATTTTGTTTTTCCATTTGGACTTTTGGCATCATGCTGTAGGATCAGAACTGGACTGTGAACCACAAGGTTGGCAGTTCAAACCTACCAGCTGCTCCTCAGAAACCATACACAGGGTCACTATGAGTTGGAACCAACTCCATAGCAATTAACAACAACAAGATTTTTCCATTGATGAGTCTTTGGGTTGGTTTCTCCTTTTGGTTATTCTGAATAATGCTACTCTAAATCTCCACAAACAAGTGAGCATATATTTTCAATTCTTTGGAATTGCTGTTATATTATTATTGTTGAATTGACTCCAACTCACGGTGACACCATGTGTCAGGCAGCACCTCTATATTAAATCATTTGAGAAGTTGCCACACTGTCTTCCAAAGTGGCTACACTATTTATATCACCACCAGGAGTATATGAGCATCTGATTCCTCCAAATCCTTGCCAAATTTTGGTTATTATCTGACTTTTTGGTAGCCATCTTAGTGTCAGGACATCTTGGGTGATACAAATGTTTAAGTGATAAATTGTGAACTAAAAGGTAGTCAGTTCAAGAGAAAAGCCTGGAGATCTACCTGTGAATAATCAGCCACATGGAGCACAGTTCACACTGAAACACATGGGTTGGCATGAATCGGAGTTGACTTAATGCCAGCTGGTTTATTGTTAGTGTGTGTAAAATGTTAGCTCACGAAGTCCTGGTGTGGCGCTGTGGGCTAATGTGCCATACTGCAAGGCTGTTTGAACTGCAAGGTCAGCGGTTGTTAGTGTGTGTAAAGTGTTAGCTCACAGAGTCCTGGTGTGACGCTGTGGGCTAATGTGCCAGACTGCAAGGCTGTTTGAACTGCAAGACCAGTGGTTCAAACTCACCAGCTGTTCCTTGGAAACCCTATACAAGGTTGCTAAGGGTGACAGTCGACTTGATGGCACTTAACAACAACAATGGCATTAACACTGAAACTCTTTTCAAGTGTTTATTGACCATTTGTACATATTCCTTAGAGAAAGGTCTACTCCAATTCTTTGTCCATTTTAAAACTGTTGTTAAGTACTGTGGAGTCAGTTCCGACTCATAGTGACTCTGCGCTCTGAATTTCTGAGGCTGTAAATCTTTATGGGAGCAGAAAGCCTCATCTTTGTCCCGCAGAAGAGCTGGTAGTTTCAAAGTGCCCACCTTGAGGTTAGCAGTCCGATTCATAACCACTAAATTAGGTTGCCTTTTTTATTGTTGAGTTGTAAAAGTTCTTTATGTGTTATAAGTATATGTCCCTCATCATATATGTTGTTGTTAAGTGCCATTGAGTTCATTCTGACTCATAGCAACCCTGTATAGGGTTTCTGAGGAGCGGTGGGTGGGTTTGAACTGCTGATCTTATTATCATATATATGATGTGTAAATATTTTCTTCGATTTTGTACAATAAACTATTAAAGCAAAGAAGGTTTTAATTAAGATGACATCCAAGTTATATGGTTTTTCTTTCTTTGCTTTTGTTTTGTGTTTCATATCTAAGAAAATTTTGCCAAATATGAAGTCATGAAGATTTACCCCTAAGTTTTCTTGTAAAAATTTTATAGATTTTAGCTCTTACATTTAGAACTTAGGAGTCCTGGTGTGATACTGTAAAATAAGTACAGGACTACTAGCCAAAACGTTGGCTGTTTGAACCTACCACCACTCCTCAGAAACCTTATACTGTGAATTGAAACTGATTGATGGCACTTAACAACAACACATTTAGGTCTTTGATCTATTTTGAGTTACTATTATTTTTTTCCAGGGTGTGAAGTAAGTGTTAAGCTTCATTCGTTTGCATGTAACTATCCATTTGTTGCTTTTGGCCAATATCCATCTGACGCCAGCAATGATATCTTTTGTTCTAGGCCCTCTTCTGAATTCTGCTTGGATTTCTGGAAGCACTATGTTGATGTAGTGCTTCAAACATTTTAAATTATCTTTAACAAGCTTTTACTTGCATGTGATATTAGTGATAGTGTTCAATAATGTGCACATTCTGTTGGGTCACCTTTCCTTTGAATGGGCCCAAATATGGATCTCTTTCAGGTAGCTGTCTTTTCGATTTTTTGACATAAATGAGTGAGTGAGCATTTCCAGCAATGCATCAGGTTGTTGGAACATTCTGACTGGTATTCCATGAATTTCTGGAGCCTTGTTTTTCTGTCAGTGTTTCAGTGCAGCTTGGATTTCTTCCCTCAGTACTGTCAGTTCTTAATCATATGCCACCTCTTGATATTATTGAATATCATTCCTTTCTTTTTGGTACAGGAATTCATTCTATCTTCTGTCGATGCTTTCTAAATTGCTCCATATTTTGCTCATTGCTGTTGTTAAGTGCCGTCAAGTTGGTTCCAACTCATAGTGGCCCTACATAGGGTTTCCAAGGAATGGCTGGTGGATTTGAACCACTGACATTTGTGGTTAGCAGTCCTGTGCTTATCCTACAGCAGTTGAGTCCTTAAATAATATAACTGGGGATTTGAATTATTTCAATTCTTTCAGTTTGAGAAATGCTGAGTGTGTTCTTCCCTTTTGGTTTTCTAATTCCAGGTCTTTGCATATTTATTATGGCTTCTTGAGTTTCCCTTTGAAATTTCTGTTGAGCTATTTTACTTCATCATTTCTTCCACCACCACCAGCTGTTGTTGAGTCGATTGTGACTTATGGTGAGCTCATGTGTGTCAGAGTAGAACTGTGCTTCATGGGATTTTTAGTGGCAGTAGATGGCCAGACCTCTCTTATGAGGTAGTTCTGGGTGGTCTTGAACCCCTAAGCTTTTAGTTGGCATCCAAATGCATCATACATCTATAGATAAATTATTTTGGATTGTTTATATTTACAATGCGGCTGAGCCACAGCAATAGAAATACAACTTTAAAGATGGAATGAAATTTATTTTTAGTCTATTAACCCCAATGAAAATCTAATTAATTAAATATTCCTGTTTTAGGATGCACAGGATATTTTGCCTCTTCTATTATTCTAGCTGTTTAGCTTTATTGAGCAACAATCTTATTAATATCCTTGAAACTCTTCACAGAATTGCTATATAATATTCATGAAAATGATGACTTTCTCACAGAGTTAGTTCAAGAAGTCATGTTAAGCATAACATTTCTAATAGGGAATACAGACGGAGATCCATTTTGGGACACCATTCGGGACCAGATCCTGGGCCAACCATCTGAAGAAATCAAAGAATGTCATAAACCAAAGCCAATCCTTCTTCACACTGGTGAGGTAATGCATGGTATCATGTTGAAATTCATATCTTTTTAAATTTATGAATTGTCAGATAATGAATGGTAGATTTTTGTTGACATGGGACATGTTATTCAGCAGTTCATGCATCAAATTTTAATATGAATTAATTTAAAATATGAATGCTATGAGCCAAAATCTAAGAAATAAAGTGGCATGATTATTACATATACTGATCTAACGTGTTACATCTATGATAAAAGAAAAAAGAAAACAATTACAGCAATTGGGAAGGACAAATAAGATAAACATTTATTTTATTCAGAATTCATTAATACTACCACTAGGAAGGGAATCTCCACATAGCTCTGAAGATGAGATGATCTCTAATCACATATAAAGGAACACGATCTTGTCCCAATTTTCTTACAAGTCAGACAACATTATTAACTATAGCAGTCTTCTTTTATCACTGTGTTTGAACATGTAGTTTCACATTCTAAATGTTAAAGGATCATGTGAGTATTCATCAAGATAGAAAACTTAAAAATAGAATTTTTCTAAAATGTAATTGAAATTAATAGGGGAAAAAAAGGGAAAAGATAAAAATAGAGATTTTATACAAATCTGAATTTGGGAAAGAATAAATCCTTTTGTAGATAACTTGGAAAATAAGGCAAGACATGGAAACTGAAAACTTCACGCTGGACTAGAGTAAAAAGAATAATTCTTAAGTTAACCTAATCAGAGAGTTTCTGTAAAACACTTAATTTTGTATAAAAAAAGTCACCACAGTAATCTAGGAGACCCCTTAATTATCTGTTACATGCTATGATTCCACAATGACAAATCCACTTACAATCTAATTGATGAGAAAATAACTTCATGTTAATGAGGCATTGGCATTTGAGATTCATATGATATGAAAAGGATATAAGTACCCAGATAGAATATTTAACATTTTCTCATGAATTAGAAATAAAACATAGAATGAAAGAACCAAACCATTTGACAACATTTTAAATCCTTTAATACAGTAATTTTTGTGAACATCATCTTTTTCTTGACCATAGAAAAAATAGTATTCTAACATAATTTTTATATTTTGGGTTCTTAGTTGACAAAACCTAACCTGTGGCACCCAGATATTGTTGATGTTCAGCTTATTACTCTTGGGTCCTTGGCCATAACTGCCATCCCTGGGGAGTTGACGTAAGTTCTTTTTACTTCTTAGTTAAAAATGTTTCTTTTGTGTGTTTCTATTATTATCACTTTAATCAGTGGCAAGTAATTATCTATAATAGTCTCTTTACATCCTACTGTAATAGGTTTGGCAACATTGACAAATATGCTTACCCTCTTTTTTTTTGTTGGGGGGTCTCTGAAGAATGACTCTATTAATACCTATTAATGGTGAAGTAACTCAAGGCATCATTGAAGCAAACATGAAAATTTCAAACTCTATCATTACAAATTACAGTAAAATCTTTGAGAACCAAAACTTTACATGACTCTATTGCTTCTCTGGGTCTCTCAAATTTTTTGCCTTAGTAAGAGAGCAGTTTTACACTTTTCTATTGCTTATTTTAATGGAAAATACTTGAATTTTCCTTCTCTGGCAGGTTTCACCTTATATAGTTTCTGGCTTTTGCAGATTTTACTGTAAAATGATAGTGTGAACAATTCTGTCAGTAGAAAGATTTGAAATAAACTATAAGTACTTGGAGCAATTCATTACAACAGCAAAATATGGAGAAACATTTTGAAGTTGCTTTCTACAGAGTCTTTCCTACCTCAGTAAATGGTCATTTTATATCCTTACAATTGGCTCAGGTGGTCCTAATTGTTGGATCATATTAGAATCCTTTTTCTCTTTTCTCTGACTCATTTTATGAGCAAACTCTGTACCTTCTACCTAACACTTTTCTAAAAAAAAAAAGAAAAAGAACAAAACCACTTTATTGTGACATGAGTGAAAGTTTATAGTGCAAATTGGTTTGCCATTTAACAATTTTTTTTTCCTCTCATGATATTGATTGCAGTCCCCACTTCCTTCCTATATTTACTGTTTCCATTTGCACTTCTTTCCTTTCTGTTCCTGCCTTCTGAGATTTTTCTCTGGAAAAATGCTGCCCACTTGATTTTGTATTGTTGGTTGATTTAAGGAGTGTGTATTAAACACTAAAGAC